ATGTCCATAAATGCAACTTTTAGGTTATTATTAACACTAGATTTGTAAATTTTATAATTAAGATTTAGACATTAATCATAATAATATATTTCTAATCGAAAAATACATCTACGATCAATTAAACTTTCAATTAATAAAAAATAAAATAAACAAACAGGAATATTTTTAACGAAACCACACCTGATTAGTCGGTTTAATTTATTCATTAATATTTATCCCACGAGTAAAAAACATAAATGTCTATACAGCCACCAATAGTTATACATAACATCCAACTACTTAAAAGGCATGGGTAAGATGGAAAACGTCTTAATGAATTGTGTATCCGTTCAACAGAATATTTTTGAATACTTAATAATTACTGTAATAAAATGTTAGTTATCAGTCAAACAATACGCGTAGTGTTTTCTGTAATTGTGGCAAGTGTATTTACTGTATAATCTTACAACGCCTGTTTATTCTAAATGAATAGTTCAAATTCAAACCGCTTTTTAAACGTCGAAAATGATAAGCATATGACAAACCATTTAAACTGTAAGGTTCACGTTGACCTTAAAATAATAAATGAAGATAGTATTTAAATAACGACAATTTTTAACAATCACTAGATAATAAATTCATAAGAGCATTCATAAAACGTATTAAAATATCATGTCAACCTCCCAACGGACATCAAATACACTCGCTCAACAAACACAATTATATGACATAATAATAAGTTTTAACAAACACGTCGATATAAAGTATCTATGTGTTTTGAAACTCCCAACTTAAACAAGAAGATAATACAAAACATAAAAATCTCCACGATGTTTAAATTAATGTTTCAAAAACCCCAATAAAAACGTCCAAGTGCCCCACCAAACATGTTTCAATATCAAAAGTAAACACTACTAAGTAAGATACAGGGGATATTTAATGTTATGGTAATATTCAAGTCAGTCCGACCATCTCGAAACGTCAAGGTAGGCTCTTACAAGAAACACATACGAGGGGTCTACTATTTTAGAAGAAATACTATTGAACTGGTTCCAGTGGGTGATCTAGGCAACCACGCCTTTTCCGGTCGTCAGCGTGTACACGTACAAGTGCATGCGCTGCACACAGCTCTAGACCCCTCGGAGCCCGCCAGTTTTACCCGTCACTGTAATGTTATATTTTACATCATAAAATTGGAGTGCAATATACTATTTTCTATGCTTTTATAGGTAATTCAAAACGCGTATATTCTCTACGGATAACGAGCGCGATTTATTGAACGACAAACACTCCACAAAGAGCGCGATAATTAAAATTTTATAGCGAACATTTGAATTGATATAAATAGATTTCGTGTACACGAATATATTTACTTTACTGTAGTCTACCCAGTGGCCGGTGCCATCCAGTAATGGGGGTGTATATTGTGATTATGCTTACTGTTTTTGTATGCTAAAGATGTACACATAGTAAATTAAAGTGGCTGATCGGCGCCGACTCTCAGGACGCGCCATAGTCGAAGCTGTCCTAGCAAGTCCACCGGCAAGGCGCCACGACCATACGCCGGCACGTACTGGGCCGGACACAATGGACTAGACTCCTCTTTAATTATATATGTTTTTACCACCGTATAAAATACTCAACGGAAATACTACGCTAGATGACAGGTACTTCTTTACTAAACTGAGTAATGACGAAAAGAAAAAAATATTATTTAATGCATTTTATTTCGGCGCCGTTTACTCGACTCGGAATTGTTATTATTCCTGTAATTTGTAATCAAAACGTGCACACATTTTAGACGACATATACTACCGAGCAGAATTTAAATATCTAGCGTAAACAAGGAATGTTAATAAAATGCACGACTTTAATTAAATCTTATAATCAATAGATATAAATATTTTTTATCCATTATCCTGTCTAATGTCATTATATATGAAATGAAATAATTTTCGTATTAAAACGAAACTGCGGTGTATATTTATGCACTATAATGAACCCGTAGATTTCCTGCTGTAATGTTTAAAATAAATTTATTAATCGATTCGATCGAATCGATACAACATTCGTAAGAGCACATAACCGCCACTACTGTTTAGTAAACGTCGTTAACAGCCTATACTATTCATATTAAATGTTAACATTTATTACTTTATGGCACTCAAAACTAAATATATATATATATCAAATAAAAAATTTATGATCAATTGATGTCAGCTGATAAATGTATTAGCTCTACATCAAAAAAGTAATAAAAATAATTGTTATTACTATTATTAGTTACAATAATTATATCATAATCGGTTGCGTATCAGGCATATTAAATATACTCTACAATATTTCATAAAATGATAAAATATATCCACGTTTTTATTAATTAAAAATGTTCTATGAGAATTAAATAATGAAAAAGAGAATTTTTCTTAACATAATGTAAGAATTTCAATGAATTAAACATATATGATCCATATAACCTCATACAATTATTAAAATATTTAACTTCAAACATGATACTAAGTATTAAAACATAAACTAATAAAAATTATCACTGTTTTTAATAACTCTTCAAATAAATGTATTGAAAACATTCGCCTAAAACTAAAAAAATAACTGTGGTAGTATCAACTCTTGTTTCACATTTAAGACGTCAAATTTCTAAAATTAATGTTAAGAATTTATTGTTTAGTTTTTTTTTAAATTCATAATTATCTCAATTTATCAATCATAAAGTATTTTTTATATTCATCTCTTATACCTCATAAAGATGTTAATTTTATTTTATAAATTAAGAAAATGATTGGTAGATAATAACTAATGAACGGATTTTTCAGAAGTTATTATCATTTTTATAACTTGACAGAAGGAGTTGACGCTTCTAATTTTATTTTTATCACTAGATATTTTTCGATCTTACACTTATACTATAAAAGACAAAATAAAGTCCGACATTTTTTTTTCCATGATAAAGTATATTACATTAGCTTTAATTTAAGATATATATAAAAATGTCAGATTTTCCTGAACACTTTCAAAAGTTAATTTTTTGTGAAAAAGTTGTCATTTGGAATCCCCCCTGTGGGCAGGTAAAGAGTCAGATTTATAAAAAAATTATATTGATTTAGTAATTTTTAAAAATATTATGGCAGTTTTAAATAAAAAAAATTGAAAAAATAAATAAAATTTTCTTTAACGCCCTCTTTTGTTTCCACCGTTAATATTCAGATTAAAAAAATGTTTTTGTGCTACACTAAAAATAAACGTATATTACCATTTGTTTTATCGAAGTATACAATAATTCTGTGTATTAAATTATAATAAATTGTTTCTTTTGAAACACCATTTCATTGTAATAATAATTTCCGAGAGTTGAGTGTTTATATTATAAAAAGTAGATTATCTTTGATCTATTTAAAAATTACAATAATATCTCATTAAACAATCATTGATTAAGCGTCAACTGTTCAATATTTCTCATTGCTATTTTTTATAAGTTTAAGGTATTATGCCAAACGGCATTTCACTAATATTGTCATTACTTCAAAACAAATTACAAGATAAAACAAATTAGATAAATTTTTTTAAGTGTTCTTATAAATGTATATAATTGTACACATTTAAAATAATTACACATATGATGTATACACTAGTTAATAATACTTCTATTAATATATAAAAAATACTTTTATTTAAGTTTAATTACTGAAAAATTATTTTTAAAATATCAGCCATCAAATGAATAGACTTAAGATAAATTTACTGGATTTTACATAAATAATACTATAATTTATGATTATAAAATTATTCGGCTTATTAACTCTAGCGAGAAAAACTAATAATTTTTGTATAATATTTATAGACGTGACCTACACCAACAATTGTAAACAAATACTTCATCAAAATAGACTGATAATTTCGTTAGCAAACAATGATAAAAACCAACACCAAAAGAAAAATTAACATGAGTGTGTAGGAAGTAATTTAAATACAGTTGACATTTAGTCACTATAAAGTAATAATAGTCGTCTATCAAAACTACTGATAATAAAATTAAACGTTTCAATAAACAAAAATTACAACTAAAATAATATTAACTTGATAAAACCTAAAATTATTTATTAGATGTTGTCGGAAATAGAAAAAACTAGATAGCATTTTTAGATTTTTATAAATCAATCAAAAAGTACAGTTTAATCTTTAATTTGATAAAAATACAATTTCAAATTTGATTTAATTTTTACTTCATAGTCAAAGAACCGGCCAAGTGATCCCTACAACTTTGTTTTTATTGTGAAATGATAAAAGAAAATTATGAGTCTGATAATTCTATAAATTAGTTTTTTTTTAATTATATAATGTACAAAATAAAGAAAATATATAATATTATATGAAATTATATAATTAAGATTTAAATTGAAGTATCATTACTACAACGTTCTAGATTCAAATATCATTGATATATAATAACAAATATAAAAATTCTATATACAAAAGTCAATATTTTTGACACATCATATTATCATAATGATAACGACAGATAACAAACTAGAATTTTTAGAATTTTTTCATTGTTTTATTATTAATATTATATTGTTTTTTTTTTGGCCTTTTAACTTGTAGGAAAAATACAGATTAATATACAATTGCATGTAAATTATAATTCTATTTTATATCATATTTTTAAAACCGTAAGTTCAGGTTATAGATTTTATTATTTCTCCCCTAAAACGAATAAAAATCTACACTACTAAATTATCTTATGACAAAGGGGCACATACCCCTAATACTATTCCTGACTACAATACGTAACCGGAAATAGTTTATAGATTTAATCTATAGTAATATTTGTCATAGATAAAATATTTAACTTTAATATTTCCCATTTCTTAAATATACCACAATAACATACAGTATAATTCGAATATTGATGTAAATATCAAAATATATATGTATAAAGGAATCGTGAAATGAAAATTAAAAAATTATCCAAATGAAAGTCTTTATTTTTTAAAAGAACTCACCGGTTACAGAATTTCATGGTAATACTTGAGTTGTTATAACACAGAAAACCTTTGAATAAAATTATACGTTGACTTCATCAACGTTTAGCGATGAAAAATAATACACACACAACCACGAGCTAAAAATTGTTTTCAAACACGTTAATGTTTACAAAAACATTTATAAAATAAACAATAAGAATTTCAAAAAATAATCGTGTAAATTAAAATGAAAACACTACGGACAGCGAGATACGACAAACCAACGTCGAGTATTGCCTCGGACTGGTTTGTGTTTTTGTTTACGTTCTATGAACGTTTCAACGTACAAAAAAAAAAGTAGTAACGGTAATCATGTAGAAGAGTTGCTGCACGCCACCATAGCCGGCGGCTATAACCGGTATATGGCGAGACCACGATTTCAACACGCCGGAATCGTCCAGTGTAACCAACTTAATAAACTCAATAAGAAAACCAACACTATACTATATTTCAATATACATTATAAAAACAGTGATAAAAAAATACCAAAATATTATGATACAAGCAATAGTTTCTATTTTTTAAGTAATTTTTAATGTACCGGCATATGATTAAAATATTAATATTATTAGACTAATTTTTTTTATGGTAGAACTCTGAGATCGTATTATAGATTTCTGACGAATATACTTGGTCGTTTCAGATTTTAATAAAAATATTTGGTCTCTAAAATGGCAACGATTTTAGCGATTGACGTTTCTGTTTCAATGATGAGAACTGTCAAAATTAAAGATTCAAAAGAAAAATACACTCTTTTACAGTTGGCTATTCACGGAGCCAATGTTTTGCTTGATTATTTAGCTGTTCATGCTAAACTCGAATTCGTTGCAGTTGTATGTATCTATTTTTATAGTTCTATATTTTCAGAGTTGGATTGAGATTTATAGGTCTATTTCTCAGTTCTCGTCATTATTATATCAGTAATATTGAAATTTTGACTGTTTAATTTTTTGTCACAAAGTTTTATTTCTGTATTAAAATTTAAATAAGTTGAATGCATTTTATGTAACTAATTCTATATGAATTTCTATGTATTTTAATTTTTGATACAATTTCATTTTTCCTTATTAATAAAATATAAATTTTTAACCATCATTTATATAAAAAATTTTATAACAGCTGAAAATTTTCAATTAATATTTTATTACTTTTACTTTGCATTATTTAGGTATTATCATAGTTTTATTTTAATTTATATCTTGTTATTTCAGATAACATTTTCTTCTACATGTGATGTTTTGTGTTCTTTTACTAGAGATTATGATCTTGTAAAATCTAAAATTTCTCAGTTGGATTTTAAAAGTAATACATGTTACCCTCCAGTTATAAAAGCATTAAATTATCTTGTCCATAATGAATGGAGTGATTCAGTATCATGTCAAGTAAGTGTTTTTTGTGTACACGTGTGTGGTTCTTTAATAATTTTTACATTTCTACTTTATATATATACCACATTTATTTTTGTTGGCAGTTTTATAACTTATTGAAATCTACATTGGTTTTTATTTAAGGCTAATGTGAAAGTCACATTGTAAGAAGTTAGTGATCTTATAAAATTTCCTAGTTTAATTATAATAAATACAAATGTATTTTTATTTTTAAATGTGGAAAAAAATTGATTTTTTTGTTTAATTTTTATTTTTGATATCAAATATAAATAATTTATAAATGCATATGGGTCTTATTTTTTTTTTTAGAACATTCCATTTAATTAAATGGGTATCTTTAATACAATTTTTTTAAAGAACTTCTATTTAATCCATTTTATTGAATAGTGTAATGATGATAAATACATGAAATAAAAAAACAAATTATATGTAAAAGTTGTAATATTATTTTAGAGTAATTCATGTGACTTCAATACCTATTATCTTAACATTTAATATGTTTTAGGTTATGATGATAACAGATGGACGTTGCTATGAAGGGCTACGGGATCCTCAAATAAGCCCTTTATTATTTCCTGGAAATCTTATGGTTCTTCCATTGGATGTGACAACATCCATTTATAAAAATAATTATGATTCAAACAGATTACCAAATGGTCTTGGTTACATACTTACCCCAGATCTTCCTTTAACACCTTCATCTGTGACTAAAATCTTTGACAAATTTGCTAAAGACACATATGTACCATATATAACATCTTTACGTTGTGGAAATTTAAAATCTGATATTCAAATAATTCCTCCTCCAATGGTAATTAAGTTAAAATTAATAATTAATATTTTGTATTAATAGTTCTTAACTAAAATACAGTTTTTTCATATAGTGTTTTATAAAAACCAATAAATTAACCATCTTGTACATGTAAAAAACATTGATTTAGAAATCTTTTATTTTTATTAATAGCATCATTTTTTTTTTTTTTTTATATAAATTTGTTTGTATTTAAAAAAAATTTTTATTTTAATCATTTATTTTTATCAGTTTTTAAATTAATTATATTATATGTGAAAAATTTAATAATAAGCTAGGTTAAAATGACCATAATTATATACCTGGATTAGATCTTTTCTGGGCCAAGTAGTTGAATCAGGTTGGATTTAAAATAGTATAATTTATTGTGAACAGTTTTAACTTAATATAATAACTTATATTAATTTATATGATATTATTTGATCATATGTTTCAACTTAATTTTGTTTTTAAATTCTGATTAAACATTTTTGTTCCTTAATAAGATAAATAAATTATATAAAAAAATAATACTTGAATAATTTTATATACTTGAACTGTATAATAATAATTAATGGTTTATAGGCTTATACAAGAACAACTGATTTTGAGTTATTAACTTGTTGTGTTTCAAATGAAGTTCATATAATAGGTTTTATAGAATCACAAAGATTAGAATGCCCAGCTACTTTATCTCGTCATTTAGTATTGCCACAAAGAGCAACTGATGAATGCAATGAAAATGCTGAAATTTCTTCTAGGACTCCATCCTTTTGTGTTTTACTACATGGCGCTTTAAAAGTACGACTTTGATTGATATAATAACAATAATATGTTTATAATTAAACAAATTATTTACTGTGCATTAAAGTTACTACAAACAAAAAGTATTGAATTATAGGTAGAAAACATGACTGCTCTATGTCAGCTGTGTCCAGGTTGGCTTGCTGTATTAGTAAGTTGGGCAGATAATAAAAAAAAGTCTAATTTAATGTTAATTATCCTTGAACCAGGTTTAAATCCTATGCCTTGGCTAGGAGATGTTAGACATCTTACTTTATCTTCTTCAGTATTAACAAAACAAGGTAAATAATATAGATGATAAATTTAATTAACCATAATGTTATATTTTTTTATAACTTGGTAGAACTTGAAGAACCACAACCAATAAAAACAGATAAAAGAAGCTATAATCAGTCTCAACTAGTATGGATTAAAGAAGCTGGGTTACAAGCTGATATTCAAAAAATATTAAGACAAGCTAGAAAAATGCCTGAAAAAATTCAAAGTTTTTATAAGGTTTTTTTTTAATTGCAATTTTTTTTTTTTTTTGAGCTTTATTATTTATTATTAGTTTTATTATTACTTTTATTTATTGTAGGAATTAAATAGAATTCGAAAAGCAGCAATAGCCTACAGTTTTACTGATCTCTTGCCCAATATAGCTGATCTTCTTGAAATAGAATGCACCAATTTATCAGGTAGTACACATCCTGATTGTGCTATACAATTAAGTCATGTTGCTGGAGAATTACGAAAACCTTATGCAATGGACCCTAAATTTACAATTGTTCCTTTAGTAACAAAATTTGTTCATCATGATCTTTCGTGAAAAAGAAATATTTGTATTATTAATTTGTAAATTTATTTTTGTAAACTAAGAACATTTGTATCTTTACGAAGATATTTGTTTTTAGGATATTTTAAAATTATTTTTAATAAAATAACACATTAACTTAATAATAAATTATAAAGTTTTAAATGAAAATATTTTTAATAAATACATTTTGTAGATAAAAAATAATATGAGGTATTAATTCATTTTATATTTTTTATATATACAAACATTTATACATATATCAAGCAATAAAATATTGTACAAACTTAAAAAGTTTTCCATGTAAAAAATATACAAACATAAAACAAAAAAAAAATTTATGATTATATTCATTAGGAACAAATGTACTTGTGATTTTATCAGTAATGATATCTAATATTACATATATATTTCATATAATGTTTGTAAAGTTAATTTTTGGCTTTAATTACCAAAAAAATAATCTGGATAAATTTGTATAACAAATTACTTTATTAGTTCATTCATTAACTGAACACGTGTTTTTTTTTTAATGAAAGACTTCTTATATTTTATACACATAATATTTAATAAACATTGATTTGCTTTCTTTCCTCCTTCTTTGTTATAAATTTAGTATTTAATTATTAAATTGTATATGTACTCTATTGTAAAACTGTGATATATTAAGGGAATTCGTTATTTAGTTGTATATGCTATAAATTATGATGTTCAATTATATTATTTTATTTTTAAATATTTTTTGATTATTTTTAATTTCAAACAGATCAACAATTTCAAATTAACTAAAGATCTTTAAATATGTTATACGTGTATACTGTTTAAGGTGTATAAATTATATTGTACCTTCATTTTTTTTTTTTTAAACTTAATACAATATATCACATTAAACTTTGTGAAATATTTAAAGAGATTAAATATAATTTTTAATATAAAAAAATTAATTTCCTACTATGACTCAAAGAAATTGAACTGCTGCTCATTTTAATTTCAATTTTTAACCTTAAACTTCATAATATAATGATATATCGTGTAATATTTTATTATCTGATAAAATGACTCAATTTTTGTATGGCTTAATAAGTGTTTAAGAAAAAACATTCAACAATCAAGTCTGTTTTAATAAGTTACTAAGGAACAAGAAAAACAACAATATTTTGTAACATAAAACAAATTCATACTAACATAAATGATAAAGTTTCCTTATATAATAGCATTTGATTTTACTTTTTAAATTAAAACAAAAAGACAATTAGTGCAAAAAATATATAATATATTTGTTAAAGTTAAATCTTTTTAAACAATTTAATCATACAATAATAGTTAAATATAATCTTATAATCACGATTTTAGGTAACCCTAATGTAAAACAGATCTCGCTATATTTTCCATAATATTAATTAACTGAATAATTAAGCAGATAAAATAAAAATTATTGTTAATCAATCATTAAATGATAGGAAAAAAAGAATGACTTTTTATAGAAATAGTATAGAATAAAATACTGAAGAGTTTTATGGTTAAAATAGTTCTATAAATTCTAAAAAAAATTGCTTACAAGTAAATTTCTTAAATCTTTTATGATGAATTACGTTACATGGTTTATATTGCACTCAAATATTAAATGAAGTATACCCAGACAGAGAGTAATTCTTAAAAGAAAAAAATAGGTCATCAAATAATAATATTAAATTTCTCTCTAAACCATAAATTTCATTGTAAAAATGAGTATAATTATAGAACTTCAGAGAAAGCTTGTATACGACTTATGAAGCTAAAAATAAAATGTCGCTACTCGTTATGCGTTTTTTAATAATTTTATTTATATTCTCCGGAAATCTCATGAACATCAAGTAACGTATAATAATAGTTAAAAAATTATTTATATTTTTCAGGTTTTAAAAATTTTGCACAAATGTTTGTATTTTAAACTTTTCATAATTTGTCTTATATTTTAATTTTTACACTAGCCTTAATATATCATGGCTTGCAAAATTACATCAAAAGATTTAGACCTTAAAAAGTTTTGTAGTAATTCAGAATTTTTCATGTGAATTAAAAAACGTTACATTTAACTCAAAAAACCAAGCCCATTCCTTTTTTTTATTTTATTAAGTAGTATCCAGAAAGTACATATATATAATATTTTTGCAATAACAAAATTCAGTTGTCATACCCTGATTTTGTAAATAACCTACAGAAATTATTTGTAAAATATATTTGATAATACTATTAAATATCTGAATACAAGACAACAAATACTAATTTACTGGTAACGCTAACCTCACATTAATTGCAATTAGGTTATCATGATAATAGTTTGACTAGTTACACACTTCAGTACTGCCTCAGAGGCTGTTATATTACATTAATTTATAGTAATTCTATACAATAACGAAATTAATAGTATAGATGTTCGAAATAAAAATCAAACATCTTTTATTTTTCATAAAATTTATTTTGTTTACAGTTTTCTTAATTATTGTGATATGTGGATGAGAAAACTATTATGATCAAAAATTAGCTCAATCCATCTGAATATGACTTTTTTTTTTATTATTGAAAAATTTTCGTTAATTCTGATTACAATCATGACTGGATAATTTTCCTGTGTGTTGATTTGGACGGATGAATTATTAAAATATTTCTAAATTGTCTAACCGTTTTATTAATGTCCAGAAACGGCTTCGTAAAAAAGAATATACGCTTCGTTGCTGATAATTTTAGTTGGGGAGATAATTTTTGACACCGAACTATCGTTAAAGAAATGCCAATCACCAGAAATAGGATTTTTACAAAACGCTGTGTAGTGACCAGCTATGGGTGTGCCCGAATGATTGGATACTGCGTATAAATTGTACTTAGTATGAGACTGTATGGCACGGGCTGAGCTCGACACGAATGGACTCATGTCGAGTGATACCAGAGGAAACGATACTAGAGATGTGATCTTTTTGTAAGAGTGAGTACCTTGGAATCGCTTCAGGTGTAACACCAGATACCTGGGTAGTTTTTGGAAACTATACGATTTATACATTTTTTGATCCACTTTGCACTTACTGCACCGTGGTTTTTCGCGAAAGTCCAACACTTCTTCTTGAGTAAAATTGGCCAACAAGTCTGTAAGGGACACTTGATCAGTAGTCCCCGACGGCAATGGTAGCGACAGGTCCCAAAAAGCCTGAAAATTGAATAATTTCATTGTGTGAATATTGTTAAAAATTGTATTTTTTGTTAAAAAAAATACAATTTTAAATTTGATAATAATTTTGGGACATGTGCCAGTGGAATGTAATATATTTATAAATTAGTATATTAGGTCAATGCCTACCTCGAAAGTGATGCTTTTATGTCTACACACTGAACATTCTAACGTTGATTTCAGCTGGCCAGCAAAAAGATCTACGACGGTACTGTTGTCCGATGCTAAATATCTTCGCCAGTATTCAGCGGCTAAAGCGTTGTCTTTCAACGTGTCGTCGACATCTGACAAATTTCTGGACTTGAGCTTCACCCGGTTGATGTCAATATGTAGTTTGTCCAGAAGCAACCTTAAGAACTCTTGGGAATCTTGTTGTTCGTAACCGGCAAACCGAGGCGACAGTCTCTGAAAAGCCGACTTGAATGCCGTAGTGTCCACTGGACTTTCGTGCCCTGTCCAAATCCTGGAAAGCAGATCGCGATACACCTTTATTAACTTACCGTCGGTTGTATTATCCTCTAGCACGTAGTCAGTCAAACTCTTGGTATTGCTCAGACATTGTAGGACTGAGTTCATGTAGCACGTGTTACCAATGTTCCTTATACCCGCCACTCCCTTTTTGACGTCCGGTTGCTGTTGCTGTCTCCCGTTATAAACGGAAGACAGAGAGTCTGTATAGTTATCCGTGTACCTTCGATTCATATTTACATGTTTGGGTTGATCTTGAGACGTATCTGACGGTTGTTGCTTGTTGTATTTTTCGAAATATGATAAATTATTGGCCCTGGAAAGGCTAGAGTACGATTTATTCAAATAAGCTGATGATCTGCTATTATACAATGCGTCCAAACGTTTTTTAGTATCATTATAGCGTTTCTCGTTGCCTAGCGACAGGGTCTTAGTATCTCTGATTAAGCTATTGGCAGTATACGAAGACGGCGAAAGACTTTTACTCAGACTTAAAGCCCTCACGTTTCCATTAACGTCCGTCAGCCTGGAGCTTTGTCGCGACACCTGTATAGTGGTCGACCTGGGCACGCTACAATACGACCTAGAACGTCGATCATTTGTGGGACTCAGTTCAAGCGAGTAATTGCTATACTTGGATCTTGTACTGTACTTGCTGCTACCGCAATCGGCTCCTGTTGTATAAGACATGTTGTCACTTGTCGACAAGAACTTCGCGTAACATTTTTTTTGTTCGAATCGTTGCCGAAACTTTTGTCGACTGTATCAAACACAACTGTGGTTATCGTCGCCACGGTTATGATATTTCCTATTTGTTTGTTTATAATGACGTCACGAGGTTTTCACATACACATTTGATATAACACTGTCTTATGGCCACTGTCGCGGCCTCCACCGCCGCTGTTAAGCGATCGATGTGAACGCGCCACTAGCTTCTCGATGATTATTTTTAGCTGCGGCCAAGCAACACTACATCACACTATCGATGACGATGGCAAGAGCTGCACTATCGATAGAGAGACTCGATAGTACCGCAGTGGCACAGCGCGCGCGCGTGTATTGATTAACCTAGTTCGTCTCGGGTTTTATTTTAGCGCGTATTTTTACAGAATGTTTCTAAGTGAGCGTGTATGCCAAACGATTCTTCAATGCCAAACCATACCACATTTTATTATATTACTGTCAGCATACACGATACCTAAAATATGTACAACATGACACACAATATAGCCTTGACGCTGTCGGTGACCAACCCCTTCATATTACTGCGGATGCCTATTTCTATAGATTCAAGAATACCTTCGTGATACTTTTCTAAATTCTATTCATTTTACTGTCATGTGTAGAAATGTAAGCCAGTTTCTTCTAAGAAAACCAACTATTCATATTTTGAACCTATTTGTTGTCTCATCTATTTACAATTTACATTTTGGAGGAGGGTTATTAAATAGCAAAAAAAGATATTAAACGTTAGTTAATTAGCTAAGAAAAAATTTAACCAGCTTTAGTATTTTAATAATTTAAAATTTTCAATTTGTTCCATCTATAAAATGTTATGCTACAGTAAAACAATTCGAAATTAATTAATTTTTTTTAAATAAGATAAACAACAGACTACTTTTTCTTCAATAAAATATTCTTTGAATGTTCATAAAAATGAAAAAATTAGAACCGAAACCGGCATATTCAAAAATTTAAATCTTTATACTCTGAATATAATATTATCTATATTTCTAAAATCGTAAATAGTCTCATTTGATTACATAATAATAATTTGATTATTATTTTTGATACAATTATGACTTCATTCTACTGGAAAACCATTACTCTGTACTAGTAGTTCATAGAAATATTTTACGTTTTTAGCGAAAAAAAAATGTGAGCCGCTAATAATAAATTAAACTACAATAAAACACGAGTAATTCAATATGGATGTCTTTTCATGCGAATAAAAATGACGAGTAAGTTGCATACACTAAAGCTAAGATCGTCATTTGCATTTTAGGGTTTCAAAACACCACATGAATTATATTTACAATATGGTATAACATATATATTTTCGTAAACATTATTGTAAGTTTTTTTGTACTATTATTTTCTTAATTAAACTACTTTAATAACGATGGTGCGCATTAATAATATTAGACAGGATAAATTTAGTTAATTTTTTTTTTTTAATTTGAATTAAAGTCTTACGGGAGTGATTTTTATTTTAACACGAAAAATTCGACACGGATCTATTTCCATAAACCATAAATAATATACAATATTTAAAATTTTATAGTAAAAACCATCTAAAATGTTCGTATTACTCATTAAAAATGATATTTTCCCTATTTCGAATTCTTTAGTTATAATATATATTTATATATCATTTTTCTTTTAACAATAGAGACATTTAAATATAATATTTAGTAATATATAGAATATTATAAAAATTTATGTATAAAGCTTTAACTTAAAAAACTGACTTATTGATGTTTGACCAATATTAAGTTTAAACTATAAATAATCAATAATCTTTAAAAGACTTTTATAAATAGTGGATTTTACCTTGAATTGAATCATAATCCTAATAGTTAAACGACTGCAATAGAATATTCTATGCATTTCTGTGTTGTTGAATAATTTGTTTTAATTAAGTATCAAAATATTCTATTATAATAATTCATTTTTCCATAAGAGAGTAAATTGTTAGATTTATACCTATTTTTATTTCAATCACTATGTTAAAAGGAAAAAGTTTATTTTTGCATATTTTGCTAATTAAAAATATTAATCTTATTTTCACAAGGATATAATTTATAAAGAGTGATTCATATATAGAGAAACTCTCATTTTGTCGAAAACTATTAAGAATTAAACATTTTTATAAATAGAAAGAATACTATGTTCAAAAAGTTCTACAATAATATGTAGTTAAATTTTATTTTTTTCATCTCTTTAATATTAAAAAATTTTAAATGTAANTTATTTTTTTCATCTCTTTAGTATTAAAAAATTTTAAATGTAATTTCCTTAAATAGGAACCTCTATATTTTTAATAATTCGATAGAAAAAACACTACAAACAATTTTTTTAACTGTTTTTTTATTACAGAATTTTAAATACATTTTGTGGGTATGTAGTGCATGTAGGTGCAACTCAATGTATTTAAAATGATATAATGGATGAACAGTTAAAAATTTTTTTTAAAAAATAACACAGTTGTTTGGAATAAAACAATTTGGATCATATTGAATGAGTTCTTATGAAAAATGATGACTCAATAAGCCCTCTTTTATCTAAAAAATTTCAAAAATATAAAACAAAATCACATTATATAATAGATTATATTTTTATTTTATGGAATGATTACATAAAAATATTTGAATTATTTTGGAAATGTAGAGTAGCATTAAATTATATTTCATCTCAAAATCTTACAAAACATTTTTATATTAATATAACTCTATGCAATAAAGTTACAAGCGTAGATCTAGAGAAGAGTTATCACACAAATAAACTATCAATTTATTGATAATGAAATATTTTGTTTGAATTTTGCAATATTTTGTTCTACTTCCCATTAACTGCCCTTCCATAAATGGACTTTGAATTGACACCTATAGGATTGGTAATGATGGTAGTAAAGGAAAGCTAAATTAATATTTAATTACTTTAAGTTAAGAATAGAAATAAAAAAAACTAGTAAAAATTTTTATAAAATAACAACAATATATCTTTGGTAGTACATTGGAGTACAAATTAAGTCAATATGATTTTCAATTTAATTGTTCAAGTAATTTAGCAATGATTAACTTAAGATGTTTTGCCAATTTTTGTGCAGTATTGTCTTCACTTAATTCTGGTACATGTATAAAAATTGTTTGGTTTTTATTGATAGTCAATGATTTATGATAAATATATTCACACAAATACCTAAACATTCAGTTTATTTTGTAAGAGATCGGTTAATATTTTAAAGTGATTAAAATTTACCTTCCAGCATCTTGAGAAACACAAATATCATAGTCTTTTAGACAGTCAATACTAAGACATGTTTCTAATTTACTGTCATTAGCAAGACATCTACTATCTGGACAAATTCCATTGATATCTTCTTTTAAATAATCATGACCATGGGCAGTTGTTTCAACTGTAAGTGTTTTAGCAAAACAAGAAACACCCAGATGAACCATCAACTAAAAAATTCATAAGTCAAACAAAAATATTTCAAAAGTAAAAAATAAGAATAACAATATTTAAAGATATTAAATTATAACAAATAATATGGAATAATATCTCACCGTAGGTTTATATTCAGTCCATAATTTTGGAATTATTTCATCAACATCCTTATAGGATACAGGCACTTCAATTTTGATTAATTTACAATTTAATTCGTTTTCAATACCTGTATCAAATAAACATTTGGCAATTTCCCAACTAGAATTTACTTTATATTGTCTAAAAGGTCCAAAACCTGTAACGACAATTACTTTTTCAACCATAATTAAAAAAAAACAAATTCTTATAATATTAAAATCAAAAGCTTGCTTGTAATGTAATGAAACTATATAACAATAAACAACTTCTTATTACACTTTTTATAATACAATGATTAACACTTGAAATGTGCATAACATAAGTGAAAACGATATGTACAGCTTTGACCCATTTGATAATAATGTGTACAAATTACTAAGTCCAATATTTTAAATAGTCAATTTAACTAAAAATATATAAAGCAGTTAATTTTAGTTAAAAAATAATGATAATAATCACAATCTTAAGCAAATTATTCGTGATAACAATATTAACTTTAGTTTTGATAATATTTCGTTGATAACATTTTCTGATATTATATTTTTTCATAACAATTTGTATGTCTGAAATTTAAATCGGTCCATAAATCTTTAGACATTTAAAAATATTTATTACATAATATGCGATCAATACTAGTTAAAATAAATAATATTTTGAAATAAATACTCACAAGTATATAATTTAAAAACATAGAAAATATTTTTTTAGATTTTCAAAATAAAATATTTTTATAATTTCAGGAATCCCAGAAATGAAAATTTGTTAACTTTTTAGTTAAAAAGTAATCTTTAAATATTCAAAATATATGTAACGTGACAAAAAAGTACCTCTAATTTTTGTTGATTTTGTAAATATTAATTTATATTTTATTTTGAATTGCGTTTATTTCATGTATTGTCTACAGCGTTTGCGATTTGTTTATGTTCATTCGAGATAGTCAGCTGTGTACAACTTCGGACCGGTTCATGAACGGCTTTTGTGTATACACTCACCCCGCTCCTTACCTATCTTGAACGTCATTTGCACTGCTCACCACCTACACTGTCGCTTTATGATAAATAATATTTATTAAATATCGATTCAAACTGTTCTTTTATTTTCTGTTGCTGTTCAATAAAATTTTTTAACTTCTAAACTTCTAAAGACAAGCCGAAGTGTGCCGTCGGGGAATATCAGTAGTCAGAACTGGTCGTACTATTTCCCGTCGGTAGTGAGCAGATTTTGTTGCGTGCGCTGCAACTTTGGTGTCTGCGAAAACTGCCTATTGTTTCTTTAGGCCTTCGGGAAGGGTAACGTATAAGTATATATCAATGTTTTGAGCCATAACTTTTTTTGAGTGCGCTGTGCCATAATCACGTGCATCGAATTTTTTTCATTATTTTTTTTTAGGTCGCTCAACATGGCAGGCGTGTGCAATACCATCTGTCATGTTAACATTCTTTTTGTGATTATTTATTTAGGATTTATATTATATTAAATTGGGTGATGGGCCTATATTATTATGGCACTGTGGTGACGTAATGTATTTTATTCCAAGACGTCCTAACGTCTTGCAAGTTGAGTCTGCTTAAATCCAATCACTTACTAGAAGCGTATACCCGCAATNATTTATTTAGGATTTATATTATATTAAATTGGGTGATGGGCCTATATTATTATGGCACTGTGGTGACGTAATGTATTTTATTCTAAGACGTCCTAACGTCTTGCAAGTTGAGTCTGCTTAAATCCAATCACTTACTAGAAGCGTATACCCGCAATGCTGTAGCGGTAAAACCGTTGTGTTGAATGCTGGGGGGTACCCTAAGACGTTCATCGTATTTTCATATATAAAAATTGTAAGTGTAATATATTTTTTTAGTAATATCTTATTTTTTGTCTCTCTTTTTCCCTTTGATTTTTAGACGCGGATTTTGGACAGTTTTTTTCCTTGTATTATTATTCTCAATGGATTCGTATATTTGCTATTACTTTCTCTTCAAAAATCATCTTTCTATAGTTTATACGGGCAAAGACCTTGTATACATCTACTATCAACGACTCAATGGACATCAGTTTCAATGCTAATTAATCATAAGTCTACTATCAATTTTTCCTTTAATATTATTATGACATGATCAATTATAAAAATCATTTTCTTACGTTTCTTTAGTATTTAGCAGTAAATTAATTTAATCATGACCCTAAAATTTAATGACATTGTTTTTCTTATACTTCTTTAAAAATATTAAATTAACTTCAATATTTAATTTTCTGTTTTTTCTAAAGTCCTATTATGGTCTGATAACAGTATCGCCCAATAAGTTGGCGACCCTTGTTTTTTATTATTGTTATAACGCCATAAAAGTTGCGAAAGTTATCAGTAATGGCCAAAATTCAAATTCTTAGTTTATAACTTTTCATATATTGTGTAGTTCTTAGATGGAGTTTATTAATTGTGTAATAGTTTTACAATAATCCAAGTGTAATTAACGATGTAACATACCTTTATTATCATTGCATAATACTTTTATTTATACTTCTTTAAATCTTTTTAAATAATAACTAGTACAGTATAAATAAATAAAACTATGTGTAACTAATTATAGCATAACTTTTAAAAAAGTATCCTCAAAAATTACTCAGAGAATGTAAAAAACTATTTTGTTTACAAAATAAATTATTAAATTTTATACTCTTTAATGTATAAATAAATAGAACTATATATTGCTGATGTGAAAATGTAGTTTTTTATTTACATTATTAAACATTATTGACATGATTAATTATTTATTTTTTTATTAAGAAAAAATGTCTCTATCCTTTTCTTCATTTTAATTAGGTACTCGTTTTATACCCGCTGAACTTGGTGATTTTTTTTAGGATTTATATCTACATAAAAACTTACCACGTGGAAAAGGGAGATGCTGCAATATTAAAACTTCTTTATTAATGAAATATTTTACCCAGAAATAATAACTAGTAAAATGTGAATTATTTATCATTTATATTATAAATCGGATAAATATTATATTATATTATAATATTTATATTACAATGTAAAGTAATCAATGTGCGTTTTACTTTATATAGATATAAGACCCTCCAAGTTGAGGACAATTTTTTATCGTTTTGCCATTATTTATTTATTTTTATTAAAATCAATTTATGTTAATGTAAATACATTAACNTGCCATTATTTATTTATTTTTATTAAAATCAATTTATGTTAATGTAAATAGATACATGCAATTACTATAGTAAACATATTCTATTAAAATTTTACTATCGTTAATTATTTCAAGAGCTTATTATGTTATGTTATTTATAATTTCTCTTATGTTCGTTATTATTTGACCACTTAGTGATGACAAAATTTTAAATAGAATTTGGTGCAAATTTTTTTAATCTAATTGTTTTTCTACGCAATTATATCAAGAAATTTAAATATTAGCTTTTTTTTTAACAATCATTAATTGATATTAAAGTAACAATCACATGACAATTATAATAAACTCTATATGTATAATATAATATTAGGACTAAGTATTAACATGTTGGCAATTCATAATTTTATTTATTAAATGTGTCACAGTACAGCATAGTTTAATTAGTCTTTACAAATATATATTAAGCTTCATGAAATTTTATAAGGCGTTCAAGTTTTATTGTTTACATTGTTAGTAATTGATATTTACTTAACGTAAACATTTAATAAACTTAGTTTACATTAAATTAATTTAAAAAGTAATAATAATATAGATGACATAGAAGTATCTAATATCAAATGGATGATTTATGATAAAAGTTGATTGCTACTCTTATTTATTTATTTTTGGATAAACATGTTCTTTATTGATTGATGAATTATACTAAACAAATAAAGTCAACAGGAGTACTTACCTAAATCATAATACTTATTTCCGTATTTTTTTTTAGATATCCATCATCAGTATGTGCGTTTATTTTTCTATATAAAAAAAAATGTTAATCAAATGTTTATATAGTTTTACACATTTGATATGTGTAAAGTTATGTATGTGTGTATATGATACTATATTATACTATTAATATGATATACTTCTATCCTCAAACGAAAATCCCTACAATTAAGTTGACACTTGTCAAATATATTTAGAATATATTTTCAGGAAAGTCTTAAACTTATACACATATAGAGTATGATTGATTTACCGTTGGCCACATAATTTCTCCTGAAATAATAATAATTTTGAACATTACTTTTTATTCCTCAATTTATAAGTTTGTTAAATATCTTTTAGATCAATTCCTTGTTCCTTTTAAGGATACTAATTTATTTTTTTTAAAGGAAACATACATATTTAACTAACTTATATAATATGGAATGATCTAACTAAAAAAATTACTAATCGTTAACAACTTTTGAATCAGTAGATCAAGATTTATACCTGAATGAGAAAAGTAGTGCGTAGAATGATGCGTAATGATTACAAACTAGATTTATACGTTTTGCATATTATTACTGTGACTATATTACTGAGCATCCTGACGAAAGTAAGATAGTGAACGATTCATTCAACATAAAGTTACAAAAAAATTATTTTATGGATACTTGAGAATATTTTATCGATTATCAAATATTTATAAGAATTACTTAACTGTACCTCAATCCGTCTATATTTTAAAATGCTTATCATTTCCGAAATACTGACCAAAATCTGTTATTGACCAGTCATTTTCTTAATCTAATCATTATTTATTCAATAAACTAGTTAATTGTGTATGTTGCTATTTTAAAAAATAAAGTCGACACCCTTATAGAGGTATAAAGAGTGATCAAAATAAATACTCGTTTTTGAGAAAACTAAAAGAATCCATATTAAAAATATTATTTTTCTTTTTTGATTACGTAAGTGGTTCGTAATAAATGAATCACTTTATAAATATATATATATATGTATATCTGTATTTGTTATTTTGAATAATTTGGAAGATCCTGATACCTTGCACCCAGAGAAAAACCTCGATCTATATAATAAATTCATTGTTCAATTTGATAAATATATCATTACTATTGAATCTATGATCTATTTATCAATATGATAATTTTTTTTCTTGTCTTGAACAATAATTATTCATAAGAATAATTATTTTGTTCGTATTAATAAAACATTATCATAAACCCTTGATAAAATTTCTCTATCAAAATTGATTGAGGTTTTTCTTTGGGTGTGGACTTCCTTAAAAATGACAGTGTTCGATATAACATTCATTTTGACTTAGCTCCCAAATCATAATTTCTAAGTGAATATTTTAACTTTAAAAAATAACTTTTAATTTATAATTGGATTTAGAAGTAATTTAATTTTATAATAGTCACATGTGTACATCTATTTTAATTTAATTTATTTTAACGATGTTTGTTGTTCAATTACTTGTTAATTATATTACAAGTTTTATTTGAACTAACATGCACGTTTTTTATTACACTTAAAAAAATTATTGGGCGGTGGTTTTAATACATTTACTCCCATACTTAGTTAGGAATTTTATTGATTAACTAGAACGTATCTTTACAAAATAATTAACAAATTAAATGAAATGAAATATTTTTTTATTAAAACTTCATTTTATACTAAGTCAATTAATCTTTTTATTACAGAAAGGTACACTAAAATGTTTTTTGGGGATAAAATNAAAAAAATTTTTTTTTAAATTATTATTATTCTATAAGTAATTGAGTGGGTTATGATAAAAAAATCACCCTGTATAGTATTTATTAAAAATAATTCTTTGATTATTATTTGACTACCGGTTTAAATTCCATGTATTGATTTAAATATTCAGGAAAAAGTAATTGTGTCTAAAGAGTCTGAAATAATAAAATATTTATTTGTTAGTAAAAAAACTTTAAGTATATACAGAATGGCCCAGCTTAAATTGACAACTAAAATAACTTTTGATCCAGTTAATTTTTTTAGCTAATATTTTTTTTATAGTTAATATACTTGAGATCTATAATAATAATTTAATTAATATCATTTTTAAAATTTACGAAAAATGTTGAAAAAATTTCAAAGTAGCCATTTTCAAAGAATAGATTTTAAAAATTAATTTAAAGAAAAAAATTCTCATTAATGTTCGGTAGTTAATTTTCTGTATTTATTCTACGGATTCAAATGCTGGCTATGTTATATAAAAAAGAAGTAGACGCCATCTTTTCACCAAGTTGTTTTATCTCTTTAGATATAAAACTATTTATTTTATTTTTCTTCTGTCCTTGTCTCAACGCGTATTTCAAAGTTTAATACCGTAAAATAATACATGAAACTTCAATTTTTCACAAACTTTAAAATAATACAGACTATTTATTACTGAATATTAATAAGATATTATATATCAAAATTTTTCTTAAAATCTACTCTATAAAATAGCTATCTTGGATTTTATTTTTTTTTAATTTATTTAAAACTTAAAAATAATTAATATTTTCAATAAAATGTAAAAATATGAATTATTGAGATATAATTATAGACCTAACGTATAACTTTTATTTAAAAAAAAAATCGTTAAATATTATTTACTAGATCAAAATGTATCTAAGTTGTTGTGAATGCTGGGCCACTCTGTATACGTTCATTTTTAAAAATTTATTCATAATCAAAATAATGGTTCTGATTTTGTAAATTTACAAAAAATAATGGTCTGTAACTAGTTTTAGCTTCGATGCGAAGCTGAGAAGGTATTGGTTTTACTATGATGTGTTTTTTTTTTT